AACATACTCCTAAAAACTCCCCTCCCCCAGCCCGCCTACTCCTCCAGCACATCGGACCTCCCCTGACCCCAGAGGCAGGCTTGGAGATTAGCTCCATCGCAACCCCCCTCCCTCAAGCTGGCCTCCACAGTGACTGCTGCTGGCGGAGCCCAGGGTGGACGCTCACACCCCTACCACAAGCAGCTCTGCTGTGAACAGCACTTACCCCCTCCTGCTTGGGGGCCTCCCGACTGTCTCTCACAGCCGTAAACGAGGAAAGAGAAAGGCCAGGGTTCCCAGGAGAATGGGAGACGCAGGAAGAGGAGGCACAAGCTTCCTGTGACAAAGCAACCGGAGGCGGGGGACGCGGCAGTGGGGGAGCAGTGGGGGGCAGGGGGGCCAGAGGGTGCGGCTTCCCACCTGTGATGTTGACCTCCACCTGGCCCGAGCGGGTGCCGATGGGGTTGGTGGCCTCGCAGACGTAGGTCCCCGTCAGGCTGTAGTCGATAGGTCCCCTGAAGAAGAGGGTTCTGTTCTGGGCCTCCACGCCCCTGGGCAGAGAGCCATTCAGCCTGCGGGGTGGGGACACGGCCGGTCAGGACCCTCCTGCCACCACCTGGCGCCAGCCCAGCAGTGAGCAGGGCGGGTCTGGCTCGGAAGGAGTCAAAGGAGAACCACCACCGTCTCCTGCACGGGGCAGCGCTCTGTGCCTCGGCCGTTCACTCCTGACTGTCACTGCCCCGGAATGCTCCCGGGGATGGGAGCCCCACTGTACAGGTGGAGGGCCCTGAGGCTCAAGGCCAAGGAAAGCCAATAAGGGGCAGGACTGGAGCTCCAGCCAGCTCTCTGGACGCCTGCCCGGCGCTCTTTCTAACACTCGTGGTTCCTGGTTGTTGACCTGGTTAACCATACAGATGTCTGGGCTCTCACCCCAGCTCCACTAAAGCAGGACCCCTGGGGCCATGGCCTGGGGATCTGTATTTTTTTAAAATTTTTTTTATTGATTTGAGAGAGAAAGGGAGAGGGAGAGAGAGAAACATCAATGATGAGAATCATTGATTGGCTGCCTCTTGCACACCCCACACTGGGATGGAACCTGCAACCTGGGCATGTGCCCTGATCAGGAATTGAACCATGACCTCCTGGTTCATAGGTCAACGCTCAACCCCTGAGCCATGCTGGCTGGGCTGGCTATCTGCATTTTAACAAGCTACTTGGGTAAGGAGATGTGACCCAGGCTTAGGGTTCTGTTCTTGCTGGTCATGTCACAGGCCTGGAAGTTTCCGGAACATAGGGAACTTCCTTCCTCTTGATCGCCAAGGCCGCAGAGCGATTACTCCGTGGGCTCCACAGCTGCGGGGCCCACGGGTGGAAGTGGCGAGCAGGCCCCACGCACTCACACCTTCGGAAGCACTTCCGGTTCCAGGAGGTAGAGGGCGACGCAGGTGCCCAGTGCCCTCTCCCTCCTGCAAAAGAACGTGGAGCCCTGGTTGGTGTTGCTCAGTGGGTAGAGCGTCGGTCTGCGGACTGAAGGGTCCGGTTTGATTCCTGGTCAGAGCACAGGCCCAGGTTGTGGGCTCGATCCCCAGTCAGGGGCCTGCAGGAGGCAGCCGATCCATGATTCCCTCTCATCACTGATGTTTCTCTCTTTCCCTCTCCCTTCCTCTTTGAAATCAATAAAAATATATTTTAAAAATAATAAATGTGTTTAAAAAAAGAAAAAGATGTAGATGTAATCTAGACAGCCGTCTCTGCCCACCGTGTCGGCTCCTCCTCGGCCTCCCTACCCCGTCTCTCTGTCCCCACAGCCCTTCTCCAGGAGAGCTGGCTGCGGCCCTGGGCCACTGGAGGGGACAGAGCCTCTGAGGACCAGGCCTGAGGCCCGCAAAGCCAGGAGAGGGACAATGGGACGTGGAATGAGCCCTCTGAACACCGGTGCTCTGGGCTGACTGCGGCCTCTTCCCTGAGAATATGGGGGTGTTGGAGAAGGAACAGGAATAGAGAAAGGTCTGGAAGGCTCCAGAAAGCCAGCTTTCCTGGGGACACCTGGACAGAAATAAATGCTGGGGGCTGGGGTGGCAGCGACTCAGACTGAATCACCCGCGGGAAAGGGCAGCATTATTAGGAGCAGAAGGGGGCAGGTCACAAGGTGAGCCTCTGACCGACCGGTCTGTCCTGCTGACCAACGCTGTCACTCACTCAGGCCTCTCATGGTCCATTCCCCTTCTCACCAAGAAACCCGAGCCTAGACCTGAATTTCCTCCCTGGCTCAAGCTCCCGAGGTTGGGTGGGGCCCTCTGTGACCAGCAGGCACCCAAGGGGCCGGCCCTCGCACTCACGTGGTCCAGTGGTACTCGGTGGCCGGGGGGTTAGCGTCGGCTTTGCAGGTGAGCTTCACATCCATCCGCTGCAGGTACCAATTCCCATCAAACCCTTCGATGGTCACCTCAGGCTCATCTGTGGCCAAAAGAATGAGGTCAGAGGAGCAGGACGTGAGGCCAGGGGACCCCAGACAGTGAAGGGGTGGCATGACAGTGGCACGGAACCAGCCAGAGAGGGGAAGCGTGAGGGGTGGGAGGATCACAGAACAACAAGGGGAACAAGGAGGAGGAGAGGAAGGGTGAGCAAAGGGAGGTGATGGGGAAGAGAGGAGGGGGACGAATCAGCCCAGAAAGAGAACAGGAGGAGGAAGAGGAGAGGGAGAGGGCAGAAAGAAGGGGAGAGGTGGGAGGGGAGAGAGGGGGCCGGGAGGGTGACAGGAGAAGGGAGGCCTGGGGAAGGCGGGGCGGGAAGGGACGGTGCCCTCCCGAGAGGCCCGCCCGCCGCACCTGCCCCCGCTCACACTGCACGTGGACGGTGATGCTTTCCCGGAAGCGGTCCAGGTGGTAGTTGACGACGCAGGCCAGGGGCTGCAGGTGGGCCTCCCGGCCGGGCACCAGGCGGTAGCGGCTGACAACGGTGACCGTGCCATTGGGGTTCCGGACCTCCTGGTACTCAGCCTCCCCCTTCAGCCGCGTTTCCCAGGACAGCACGCCAGGCGGCTTCCCGTTGGCCGAGGTGCAGGTGGCCACCAGGACCTTCTCATCCCGCCCCTTCTCCGCACGGAGCGCTGCCTGGCTGCTCTCGATCCAGTTGGTGGGTTTGGCTGCGGGAAGTGGAGGGAGCCATGGGCCTGGGTCTCATGCCCGGTCAGAGGGGCCCGGGTGGGGTGCTGTCCCTATCGCTGTGCTCCTGGCACCCCTCCCGGGACTCTGCATGGCCGGCCTCTGCTCCACCATCTGCACCCCCTCGGGCAGGCCCAGGCCTCTGGGAGGTGGCCGCGATCCAGGCAGTGGCTCCTGCAGCCCTCTTTCCCATGGCATCTGAGGCCCTGCACGCCTCCTGCCGCCCACCAGTGGCCCTGCAGTGGGCTGCAGCCTGAATATTGACCCTCAGCTCCATCCAGAGCCGAGGCCCTGCCCCCAACCCCTAGGAACTGTGGGCAGCCAGGCCAGAGGGACTGGAGGTACCAGGCCTGGAGCCCTGGGAGCTCGCCAACAGAAGAGAGTGTCTGGGCCCCTGAAACACACGGAGGCCACACCCCAGTGCGGGCCCTCGCCCGCGGGGAGGGAGGGTGGGCAGCTCACCCATCACGGTCAGGTTGAGCTGGCTCTCTCGGTTGCCCGCAGGGAAGGTGGCAAACTCGCAGATGTAGACGCCCTCGTCGTCCAGCTCGAGGCGGGAGAGGCGGATGGTGCCGTCGGTGAAGGAGGGCTGCAGGAACTGCACGCGGTTGCGGTAGGGGGCCAGCACCGAGACGCCCATGGCCGGGTTGTAGATGGCCACGTTCTGCTTGGAGCCGTTGGTCGCCTTCTGCCAGGTGACCTGGGTGATCTTCACGCTGGGCAGCGGGTTAGCGAAGTTGCAGTGCAGCACCACGTCGGTGCCGATGAACCCATACATGGAGTCGTTCACCTGCACCATCTGGGCGTGGGCACCTGGGTGAGGGGGGGGGGGGGTCAGGGCAGGCACACCCTCCACCCAGCTCCCTGCGACTGTCTTCTCTTTCCCAGCAGTCACACTCCCCTTATTCTTTTTTTAAAATATATTTTTATTGGTTTCAGGGAGGAGAGGGAGAGAAACATCAATGATGAGAGAAAATCATTGATTGGCTGCCTCCTGCACAACCCACACTGGGGATCAAGTCCTCATGGGCATGTGCCCTGACTGGAATCAAATTATGGTTCATAGGTTGACGCTCAACCGCTGAGCCACGCCAGCTGGGCATATTCTCCTTATTCTGATGACACACAGAATACGTGCTTGTTATAGAAACACTGGGTGACACTGAAAAATACTGAGATGAGCCTGGCTGGTGTGGCTCAGTGGATAGAGAGTTGACCTGCAGACTGAGGGGTCCCAGGTTCCATTCTGGTCAAGGGCATGCACCTGGGTTGTGGGCTCGATTCCTGCAGAGTGGGGCGTGTAGGAGGCAGCCAATCCATGATTCTCTCTCATCATTGATGTTTCTATCTCTCTCTCCCTCTCCCTTCCTCTCTGAAATCAATAAAAATATAGAAAGGGAATAAAAGAAAAATACTGAGAAGAAAGTGAGAACCCACGACCCCGCCACTGAGAAATACCTGGTGATCTTGTGGGAACGCCCTTGCACTTTCCTCTCTATAGCTGCCCAGCCATCTATTTACTCTTTTTCACAAAATCAAGACCATGCTTTGCATGTTGCTCCCTATGCTGCCTTCCGACATAGCACCATAGCTGGTGCTATGTTGTCAATATTGCTCCATGGCAGCAAGTACCTGTCCACACCCTCATTTTTTAGTTTTTTGGTTAATCCTCAGCCGAGGATATTTTTCCATTGATTTTTAGAGAGAGTGGAAGGGAGGGGGAGAGACAGAGAGACACAGGGACAGGGAGGAGCCTGCAACCAACATACATGCCTTTGACTGGAATAGAACCCTGGACCCTTCAGCCTGCAGGCCAATGCTCTATCCACTTAGCCACACCGGCCAGAGCTCATTTTCCATTTCCAATGAGGGTTGAATACGCTGCTTTTGAGCCCAGCCCAGCCGAGAGCCACCGGCCGCTTCACTTGCCGGGCCTGGGTTCCCTCCTCTGGCAGATGGGGCGGATGACCCATGGCCTCCACCTCACAGGGCTGCCAGAGAACCAACTGGTCTGATGGATGAGGACCTGGGGGACACAGGACCCCGGTGGCTCCGCAGAGCTACGTCCTGTGCCGGGTGCACTGGCTCGCTGTGCCCCCCACCCCCCACCCACCACCCCGACCCAGCGGGGCAGGCAGAAGCAGGCGGGGCCTTCAGAACTTGCCTGGTTTCTGAGTTTCCCTTCCTCCTCCCATTTATTCTGCCACTAGGTGCTGAGGCCACTATCAGCACTTGAATCGTATGAGCAATTCAGTCCCAGCCCCAAGGAGCAGATGCAACACTTCCTGCCTCCGACTCACGCAGTTCCTAGAAGGCCCGCCCTCCTGCCCCTGGATAATCCACTCGGCCACTTCCTCTCGGAAGCCCCCCTGATCCTCCAGCTGTGAACCCAGCCACATCCATTACAGCTCTTTTCTGCCTCGTGACTCGGTTGCTCACACCCTGACGCCTCCGCCAGACTGACTTGCTCAGAGCAGGTCTGTGTCTTTCACATCTGTGTCCTGTGCCCAGCGCCCGGCCCGCACGGCACACTGGTGCTCGGTAAACACGTTCTACAGAGGATTCCCAGATCAGCCCGGCCGGGGAGCGCCACTGGCTGGAGCGTCGCCCCGACCCCTGGGACTGCACGCGGCACCCCTGGGCTGGGCACATACAAGAATCAACCAGCGAACGCGTCAATAAGTGGGACAACAAACCTCTCTCCCTCTTCCTGTCTCTGAGACCAATCAATAAAAAAATTATTCACAAGTCACCATGGAAGCAGTGAGGGTGGGGATTCGCAGGAAGGAGGGAGCGATCGGTGGGACTGAATAAATACCCCCATGGCCTCGCCCCCGCTGTTCTATCCCATCAGAGTGGCTTCTGTTTGCGCTTCCTCAGCCCTGAACTTGGCTTAGCCCTGACCGGGCAGCCAGCTCCTCTAGAGCGTGCCTTCCGCTCTCTGTGCCCGAGCCTCTGTGCACAGCACGTCCCTGCGTCCTTTCTCCTCGGCCAGTTTACTGAGCGCCATCAGCAACACCAGTGCCAGGGGCACAGCACGGCCGAGGGCAGTGATGGCGAACCTTTTGAGCTCGGCGTGTCAGCATTTTGAAAAACCCTAACTTAACTCTGGTGCCGTGTCACATATAGAAAGTTTTTGATATTTGCAACCATAGTAAAACAAAGATTTATATTTTTGATATTTATTTTATATATTTAAATGCCATTTAACAAAGAAAAATCAACCAAAAAAATGAGTTCGTGTGTCACCTCTGACACACGTGTCATAGGTTCGCCATCACTGGCCTAGGGGCTTCCAGAGGGGCCTGGGGTGCCACAGCAGGAGCGTGGGCCGTGCCGCCTCTGCACGGGGGCACCCGGGAGCAGGGCGGTCCTCTGAAGGCCCCAATGCCAGGGTCAGGGAAGCGGGCTGGCCCCTCCTCCCCTTACGAAGGGCACCGGCCCAGCCACTCCCGAGGCTGCGGGCTGTGCCCTGTGCTGGGCACACAGGGACTCAGGAAATGCTTGTGACTAAAGGTCGCTGGTCCCTCCAAACCAGGCCCCTGCCACGCTCGGAGAGCTCCCCTGAGGTCCCTTTCTCCCCCGCCCCACATGTCCACAAGACCCACTGGGGTATCTATAGCCCCACCCCCAGCTGTCCCTCAGTCAGTCTGTGGGGTTCCAACATGTCCCTGGCAGATGCCCTGCAGGCTGGTGGGCATCTGACAGAGGAGCACCCACAGGAGGGAGGAGGCCTGAGTCCTAGCGGCTCCATCTTGAGTTGCCTGAGACCTGACCAGGAGCCCCCGCTGAGCCCCACTTTCTTCTCCCTGAGTGGCCCTAACTGATTCCTTGAACTGTAGCCCAGCCCAGTGTGGTCAGTGGGCCGGACAGCTCAGGACCCTAGCCGATGGGCGAGGGGGCCAGCAGGGAAGTCCTGGGCCCTCCCAGGAGAACAGGGGTGGGCGCTCCCTGCCCCTGCCCCCAGCCTCCACTTGCCAGGCTCGCCCAGCAGCTGAGATAATGCGGGTACAATTGGGGAGCTTTCACCAACAAAGCAGGAACAGGAAAAGCCGGTTGGGAGCGCTTGGGCCCGGGTGCAGGCAGGGTGGAGAGAGGGGTGCCCCCAGCAGCCATCTGGGGGTTGGCAGTCGGGCACGGTGGGGCCTGCAGAGGGACAAGGCCACCCTGGAGGCTGCGACTGCCTCTCCCCACATCTCCCTGCGGGTGTGGGGGCAGCAGGCCGGTGCCGTGGCCCCTAGGCTGACATTCATTATGGCCTCTTCAGCGGTGAC